GGATAGGAAATGGGTAGGAAACGGGGGAAACGGGGGGGGAAACGGGAAACGGGTGGGAAATGGGTGGGAAACGGGCGAGGAGCAGCTCGAGGAGGGGTCACGGGGGGCACTGACCTCGCGCCGCCCTCATGGTGCCCGAGATGGCGGCCAGGATGCGGCCGTAGCACAGCAGCATGACGAGCAGAGGCAGCAGGAAGAGGCAGGCGAAGGTGAACATGTTGTACAGCGTCTCCTGCCAGCGCGCCGCGAAGCTGCCCACCGTGGCGCATTGCACGAAGCGGCGCGGCCGCGAGCGGCTGACGGTGTGGAACACGAAGGCCTGGGGGGGTTTGGGGGGGGGAAAGGGGGTCAGCTGCCCCCCTGCCCGCGCGCCCGTCGTCCTCCACCGCCATCGTCATCCTCTCGCCGCCGCCACCATCGTCCCCCCTCCCCCTTCCGGCGTCGCCACCGCCGTCGTCCTCAGCTTTGCCGTCAGTTATCGGCGCTGCTGTCGTTGTCCTCCCCTCAGCGCCGTCGCTGCGCCTCCCCCATCGTCCTCCTCCTCTCGCCATCATCACCATCGTCACCGTTATCACCACCATCACCGCTAGCACCATCATCATAACCACCACATCACCATCACCACCATCACCATCATCATCACCACCATTATCTCCATAATCATCACCATCACCGTTACCATCACCATCACCACTAGCACCATCATCATAACCACCACATCGCCATCATCACCATCACCACCACCATCATCACCACCACCAGCATTATCATCATCACCACCATTATCACCATAATCATCACCATCACCGTTACCATCACCATCACCACTAGCACCATCATCATAACCATCACATCGCCATCACCACCATCAACATCATCATCACCACCATTATCTCCATAATCATCACCATTATCACCATCACCACTACCACCATCACCACTGTTTTCACCACCATCATCACCATTATCATCACCATCACCACCGTTTTCACCATCATCATCACCACCATCACCATTATCACCACCACTACCGTTTTCACCACCATCATCACCATTATCATCATCATCATCACCACCACTGTTTTCACCACCATCACCGTTATCACCACCATCACCACCACCAGCACCGTGCTCTCCCCATCACCGCAATCATCACGGTTGCCACCACCATCCTCCTTCCCCCTTTCAGCACCACCAGCGTTGCCGTGCTCCCCCTCATCTTCCTCCCCTCACCATCACCATCCTCTCCCCACCACCACCATCCTCCTTCCTCCTTCATTACCGTTATCACCGCCGCCATCGCTGCGCTCCGCCATCATCTTCCTCCTCTCACCATCACCATCATCATCATCCTCTCCCTACCACCGCCATCGTCCTCCTTCCCCCTTCCTCCACCACCACCATCCTTAAGCCCCCCCCATTTCCACGCTCCCCATCCTCCTCCTCCTCTCCCCACCACCACCATCACCATCACAATCATCCCGGCCACCACCACCATCCTCCATCATCGCCATCACATCACCACCGCCACCATCATCATCTTCCTTCATCATCACCACCACCACCATCATCCTCCTCCACCTTCATCCACCACCGCCACCATCATCCTCCACCTTCATACACCACCATCCTCAACCACCACCATCCTTATCCACCATCATT